CTAAAACCATGGGAACTGATGAGTGAAAATCCCCACTGGGCATAGAGCCTCTGAAACACCCACGAGGCCAGTAAACACTCCATAGGGAAAATCATGTTGCGATGTGATAAATGATCTGTGACAATCTCGGAATATAACAAGCCAACAAAATAATTCGATGGCTGTGGTCTGAAATGTCTGAAAACAGGTACCTTGATTGAGTGCCCCTTGCCTGTAGATGTATGAAATGAGTTGTCAGAATGCATCATCACCAACTGTCCCTGAAGGTACAGAAGGAAAAGAGCCAAAACCCAACGAATCCCAAGGAGGTCCAAGAGATTGATATGGAGAGAGGACTCTACTGAGTCCATTACCACAAACCTCCTGAACATCCAAATAAGCAGCCCACCTGGAAAGAGAAGCATCTGCAAAAAGGTGGTATCTCAGTCGAGGAGGAACACCAATAGTGGTGTTGGCTGAATCCAACCACCAGGTAAGGTTGGTCTGGAAGGAAGGAGGAAAGAAGAGAGAGGTGTCCAAAGAATCCCAAACGAGGCTCTACTGGTCTAACAAAACCCACTGAAGGCGACATGTGGTCACAACCAAGAGTGATTATGGCTTTCAGAGAAACCTATGTCCCCAAAAGAGAGAGAATCTCTAATACAGTGAGAAGGAGAAGAGGAGAGGCTGCAAACTATAAGCTCCATAACCCTCAACTGAGGGGGAGAAGGTTGGGCCTGACTAGGTATGGAATTGAACAACACCCCAAGTTGAACTAGGTATTGTTCAGGGGTGAAGAAAGACTTCTCCACCTTTACCAAGCAACCAGAGCTACTTCTCTGAGAAGAAACTAGGTATAAAGGGCAGAGTCGGCCTGTGAGGAAGTTAGAAGTAGCCAGTCATCCATGTAATGGTGGAAAACGAAGGCCCTGGGATTGAAGAAGATGGACAAACACTTGGACCACCCGAAAAAACGTGGGGATCTGAGGCGAGTCTGAATAGAAGAGCCCAGAACTGAAACACACACACACTCTTGATGGACAAATTAAGAATAATGTCTGGATGCAGGGGAGATGGGAATGTGTAGGTATCCATCTGATACATCGACCTTCGTCACCCACAGACCAGGAGTGAAAACCCACAAAAGGTGAAATAGGACTCCATGGTGAAAAATGGGAGGAACAAGAAACAGTTCAGAGCCGACATATTGATGATAGGGTGTCAGTCACGTCTTTTTTAGGGTCAACAAACAGGCGAGAATAAAAACTCAGACGAGAAGTTCTCCCTGCAAAACAAGTCCTGAACTGCCTCCAAAAGACTGGCCAGCAATGGGATCCTGAGGAGGAGGGGAATCAAAAAGGGGGGTCCAGACCCTCTGAAACCACCTTCAGAACCCAAGGGTTTGTGGCAAAGTCCCTCCATATGAGGGCAAATCTGAGAAGCCTGGCCCCCACAGGTCCCAACCCCACCAGTTACCAAGACCACCAGTAGCCCAAAGTTGGCACCCCCAAGGACTGATGGTGAACCTCAGAAATACGAGAGGCCAGAACCAGCATGGGATAGGAAGAAGGAGAGTGAGACACAAAAACAGGTACAAGAGGGGTTTGGAATAAATGGAAGGCTCAGGAGAAAAGGAAATTATGCAATTGAGCTGACTCAATTTTGGACTTCAAAGAGTTGAAAATGCCTCTAAAAACCTCTTGGTGTAGAAAAGGTGCTATGCACAAATCACGAAAAGAGGAGGCAAGTGAACGAACCCGAGAAAAAAACCCAAAAATCCCAACAGAGCAACAACCAAGTTTGCAAAGCAGGGACGAAGAGGAGAGGCGTGCTAGCGTAGAAAACAGTAGATTTTGAGTCTTTACAAAAAACTGTAAAGTGATGAATAGCCTCAGACAATAGGCATAGGGAGGACGAGGAATGCAGAAGGGCAGACAGGGTGAAACTAATACAATAAAACTAGGGCTGGGAAAAGGAAACCAAATTAATGGGGTCAGATCCCCACAAAGGGACAAGTGACTCCAAAAGCTACGAGTCTAAAAAGTAAAAATCAGAAAGATGATATGCCAGAGCATGGTCATACAGAGTACATGGGGGTTGAGAGATACTGACACCGAAATGCAACTGGTCCCCAAAATGACTTGCATGAACCCCAATGTCCAGATAGGGAGAAAACACTAAATACTGACCCACTGGGTAGTCACTGAGAGGGGCAGGAGCAGAATAATAGGATATGGGAGATAAGGATAAAATATAACATACCTGATTGATTAAGTCTAGAAATGAGGAAGGAGGTCTTGGCACATCCCCTGAAATGACACATGACTGTGAGACATAGGCAGGAGGGGGAAACAGATTGTCCAAATCCTTATCATCATGTGTAGGCAAACCCTTGCCTGGTATGATGTCAGCACAATCATCTGGTAACTCAGAAGACTGCATAAAAGTAGCTAACTTCTTACAAACCAGATCCATCACTTCTTGAGCAGATAAAACTTGCTCAGACACCACTGAAGTGGCCAGCAAATCAGCTGTGGTAGTGGCAGTAGCTGTGATAGATGCCTCGTGGAATTGCAAGTGCATTACCAGTGAAGTTAACCAAGAAAAAAATTCTTCTCATCTTTTTTTTTTATAAACCATAAAATTCGAAAATTTACGGTTAAAAAATATATGCGCAGCCTAATAATCAACAGTAAACATGATCAATTATAAAAATTTTCAGTCGGAAGACATGAGAGAAAACATGTCCTAGCAGTAAAATGGCCAATCGAGAAGTGATTTCAGGCTGTACAGAAGAAAGGATACTAGCAATGATAGGAATTGTGTCAATTCCTATTAGTGGAGGGTTGCTGGATGATAGCATAGGCAAGAATTAACATATAGCAATATATATAACTATTCAATCACAAATGAGTTTAATTTATCCAATTTTTGTCTGTTAACATTCTACTACACTGTGTGCCTGTGCTATTATGTAGGAATGATGCAACTGCCATCCCTACTATTTTGTTTGCATAGTTTTTGAAGGATTGATATTAGCCATCCCTACATTTATTTTTTTAGGTTTTTCTTTACTTGTTTTTGTTACTGCAATGTTTCAACAGACATAGGAAGATTGTATTTATAACCAAGTTCTAAATACAATAAGGTTCCAACTGTAATAGTTATAGTTTATCTATTATTGGCTGGTAATTCCTGTTTCTCCCTGTAATCAAGCTTTTATAGGAACACCAAATTTCTTCAAGGGGTAATGATAATATCGTTTACACTAGAATTATGATTTTTTAAAATTACTACTACTAGTTATTAATAATACCTATAAAAGTGGATACTCCATTTGAAACTGTGTCACCTCAGTGGAATTGGTTGACACCACTGTTTTGGTTTTCAAGTTATTTGTAATAAAAAAAAAGAAGAAATTCAACTTTTCCCAGAACTTGTAACTCAGTAATTACATAGATATTGTTATAAAAAGAAACACTGTATAGTACTGTAAAGTTCTGATGACCTATTGAGGAGATATTTTGATGAACAATCCAAGCCATCTCTACATAGGTAGTGCTACCGCCTGCCTGATAATGATGAAACATCTATACATACTGAACAAGAATATTTTTTGTACATAAATATTCACCATAGCCAATGATATCCTGCAAATGAAGATTAAAACACATATGAGAGGGGAATGTGTCAACTATTTTCACCATAATTTCTTTCTCATGTAGCCATTTTAACAATTTCTGCACTTTCAGATGTTACTACGCTCCAGGTAAGTTTTGTATTCCTAAAACAACCTAAGACACATTTTTTTTTGCTCCCTTATTATGTACTGAATTCTGTCTCTGTTTAGCTCGCTATTTTTGATTGCTTTGTTTCATAGTTAGTGTTAGCTTTTAATGAAAATAAAACTGCCTGTATGGTCCAGTCCAATATATCTAATTTTATATTTATTTCAAATATTTCATCATTTGTTATATTTTCACTGAATATTTTTATATTCTTGTTGTTAGCATTGAAAACCCTTGAAAGGAAAAAAAATCACTCTTAATATGTAATGTGTTAAAAAAAAGGAGAGTTTACAGGTGCTAGTGTGCATTATGTATCCACTTACTTCAGAGAGTTTAATATATGTAAAGACCACCACAGCTTCTACCCAAAAGCAAACATGATCTCTCAGTTTTAAAGTTTTTTGTTTGGAACTAAGCACAAAGCCTCATAATGGGCTATCTGTGCTCTGCCCACCACGGGTATCGAAACCCGGTTTCTAGCGTTGTAAGTCTGCAGACATACCGCTGTGCCACTCGGGGGCATTTTAAAGTTAAACACTGGTTTAGAAATGAAATAAATAACAATAAATAACATTAATTTCAAATTCTTCTTCCATTTTTCTAATAATTTGAAGATCTTTATAACTTTTTGATCTTCTATCCTATAAGTATATTTAAAGGGTAGCTTTTATACCATCAAATATTCAATTAAACATGCAGTATACAAATTACAATTATCTACACAACTTAAATATTGTTTTGGGCCCATTGTAAGAGACATCAATGACCTAATAAAGAAAAGTAACTTTTTTTTCTTCTGTTCTTGTAATTGTTACTCAGTTAATTGTACAAATCATTAGTGATGCTCTATCACAGATATTACCTGGACATAATTTTGAAAATGTACTACTCAACTAACTGGTGTATAAAGCCACATGAAAGGCTATACCTAATCTCAAAATACATTCGAAAGTGTGGTATAGCAAATAAAATAACCATAATTGATCATATATCTGCTTACACTAAAATATTTATATATATATCTTAAATAAATAATATATATTTTACATTATAGAATTCAACATTTTCTGTTTTTCATTGCATATTAAACAATAATTAGGAAATGCTTAGGAGGCTTTCCTACTGATTCAAGTCATTACAGTTTTAGGCCTGCCTTTTGTACCTAGATTTAAAAGAAAAGACAGTTCTCTATTATTTGCTTATTTGTTGCAGAAACAAATTTCTTGTCCCATAAGACACACAATATGATTTTTATTATTCTTTAATCAGTAACAGTTTTAAGTAGACATTGAGGGTTAGAAAACATTAAACAGTGTAAACACATTATATTATGTGGCAAGAAAAACAACAACAGATAGATGGTTTATGAAGAAACTGACCAATTGTGCAATGATAACTTTCACAGGTGATAAAGAAGAGATGTACTGGACTTTAGCTCTCAGAAAAAAAAACAATAAATGAATAAAAGTTAAAGCTATTTCATATAATAATTTTCTGATATAAGTTCACAATGTATTACCACTATATACATATTTTAGTTTAAACTTAATACTAGTGAGAAAGTTCATTTTTGGCATATAATTCCTTCTTGTTTGCTTGAACTGCTATTTGGTCTTGTTGGCACAAATCTTTAAGCTGCAATACATAAAAAAACAATAATGAAATAATGTTCAATAAAATAAAGAACTGTTTAAATGTCTACTCAATATTCAATGAACAACACATAGTGTCTCTCTAAAAATTACTGTCTGCTTTTAAAGACCAGTCAAAAAATACATTCTCTACACAAGATGCTAACATCGAAGTTACTGAAAGAAGTACACCACATCTAAAATCACATCCTATGATCCATAAACCAGACTACTGTAACTGACCATAACTACAATATTCTCTACACAAGATGCTAACATCGAAGTTACTGAAAGAAGTACACCACATCTAAAATCACATCCTATGATCCATAAACTGGACTATTGTAACTGACCATGACTACATAAGATTTTAATAAAAAAGTTACTGAAAGGAGTACACCACAACTAAAATCACATCCTATGATCCATAAACCAGACTACTGTAACTGACCATGACTACATAAGATTTTAATAAAAAAGTTACTGAAAGGAGTACACCACAACTAAAATACCTCCTATGATCCATAAACCAGACTACTGTACTTAACCATGACTACATTATTCTCTACACAAGATGCTAATGTACAGGTTAATGAAAGTAGGACACCACAACTAATTTACCTTCTTATGAACCACAAACCAGACTATTATAACTGACCATGACTACAGAAGATTTTAATATAATCCAATGTACTACAGTACAGATCTAAATGCTTACAAAAATGATCTGCACTCAGTATGAGCTTCATGTAAAAATATACCATAAAAATCAACAAAACCATAAGTCAGTTGGTATCCAATATATATATGTATATAACTCAAAAAGACACAACTCAACAGTTAACACTACTGCAACTGAAATAATTCCCAAAGTTCCTTTCACCCTTCAGTTGATGCTCCAAATAAGATAAAATATTAATGCATGTGTGATAAGCTCAATACCTGATACCCACATCTGAAAACGAAACTAAACCTACAACCAAATGAAAAAGTATTAGTCAAACTCTCCTGCATCATATTAGAAAAACTAAAAATTCTGCCCAGGAAAATAGGATAACAGAGATGCTGTCCATTAATTAAGAACTAATGACTTGGTTATACAAAATAAACTACAAGTTCAGACTACCAATCAACTACTAAAATTTGGAAAGTCAAAGAATTGTTTCATATAACAACTAAACACCAAAATAATACATTAATAAGCACTTTGACATCAACAGTATTTCAGTTCCATTATTTATATTTCAGTCATACAGTCCTCAGAAAAATATGCTGCTAGGTATAACCATTTTCACGAAACACACAGCTCTTTTAACAGTCATTTGGAATTTCAATGTTCAGTATAATTGTTTTTTAGAAATTGTATATATATATATATATATATATTAAAAAAAAGCTACAAAATACATGTAAACTATCAAAGTTTTGTCATAGTGTGGTTCTTGCAGCATGACCATTAATAACTGTTGCAACAATATAGTATTAATAAACCAAAACTTTACGAAGGAAATAACACCTCAGTAATGAACCTAACTAATGACAAACTAACTTTGCTTGAATGTAAGAAATTGAGTAATTACACAAAAGTTAGCTCTTTTCAGCAAGGTCAGAAGGTAGAGATAGTTTGCTAATGCTCTTAGGTCCAACTAGTTGAGAGAGGACAGTTGATTGTTCTTCTTGGGTATTACATACAGAGTTAAATGTACAGAGCTCCATCTGTCCATTTGAGCAGGAACTAGTGTGTGAAGTGGTGTTCAGCTGAAATTGGTCAACAGCTTCCTGGAAAGAAGTTGAAGAGTTCAAGTTTCTACCCTTTATCTGGCCACTCAAAGAAGAATCAATCAATAATTCTTCATTTGCTACTGCAATGTTAACTGCCTTAGAATTATTTTGGTCATAAGTGTTTTGTGTCAATGTGAGATCAACTTCTGTATAATTACTCTGGTTGTGAATGTTCTGTACCATTTTGACATCAACTTCTGAGGAATTATTCTGGTTACGTTCATTTTGTGTCATGGTGACATCAACTTCTGTAATATTATTCTGGTTCTGTATTTGCAGCGGTGCTATGGAATTATCTTGTCTGTGTACACTTGCGGACAAAAGCTTCATCAGTTCAGCAGCTACATTAAGTACCTTTGGATCAAAAGGCTTCAAGGCTTTCATTATGGATTCCAGAAGATTATGTGTACAATTCTGCAACAAGTGACATTTGTTTGACTGCATGTTTACTTGAGTTTGATTGCTAGCCTGTTTCACAGTACAAGCCTGAAAACCAGAAATACACTTAGGCTCATCTTGACAATTGAAATCAGTAACTTGGTTAGCTGTTTGCAGTACTTCTGTTTCCAGATTTACAGAATCAGAAACAACAGGAGGCATAATGCAGGAAGGGTCAGCATGATTTGCTATCAAGGGAGTAGGAAATTCCACACTAACTCCATACACGTTGTTGTTGATAGAGATGTCACTTACTGCTGCAGTATAGGCTAAGGTGGTATTAATTATTACTGGTAGTATGGATTTAGGGTTTAGTCTTTGTTTTACAGATCTAGTGTCACATGTTGTATTTAACTGTCCAGTTGGTTGAGATAGACAGACAATGGATTCAGTTGTATTATCTATGGATGCTATGTATTGTGCTGCTGAGCCTTCATCAGATGTAAGAGGAATGCTTCTATTGGACTTTAAAGCTGAATGCATATTAAATAAATCAGAAGCAAGAGAGGTGACAGTCTCAGGTTTAGATGTGCTAACTTGTAAAGATGGTAGTGATTTAAATGAAGCAGATGCATCAAATAATGTTGACTCGCACTGTGTTTCAGAGAGATTCTTAGGATGAATAAATATAACAGGAGTAGTTGCCAAGTTCTTGCTAGGGGCAATGGTATACTTTAGAAACACTGGTTTATTACTTGGTGAGACTAATGGTTTACTTTCAAAACAAGATGTAGTGTGAGATTCAGATATATCCTGAGATATTACTGTAGGAGAGTCTGGATCTATGCCTGAAGATGCAAAAGAAGATGACATACTATCATAAGGCTCAAAACTCTGTAATGTTTGTGACTCTTCATAAGAATCAAAAGGAATATTCGCTAAAATATCCAGTCCCAATGCTTGATGTTCAACTGCTGACGTAGTGGATGTAGGCAACATGGAAGAAGAAGTTACCTTTTCTTGTGAATCCCACTTCGAGTGGTTTTCAGTCAAGCCAGCTGATGAAATTGTGTTGAAATTTGTTGAACTCACACTGTGATAATTTTCATCTCTAAAAGAAAGAAAACATTGCTTTTCTTCTGAATCAACAGTATTTGCTTCATTACAAGACTGAGAATAATTATCATAACAATTTTCCAGGTTTTGTAGAAAGGCTTCTGAAAATGAATTTTCAATTTGTTGTGAAGATTTCAAGATATGTGGTTCTCTGTCCTGTTCCTCTGTTTCTCTTCTTTCAGTAAAACATGGATCATATTTATTAGTCAACTGTGACTTTAAATTACTTTTACCAACACTGTTATCATGCTGGAGTACAGTAGTTAAATTCACCTCAGGCTTTGTAAATGAAACATCTTGTTCAGCAAAATATTCTGAAACATCACGTCCATTCAGTTCTACCATTTTATTTTCTCCCACTACATTTCCTGTCTTGTGAAGAATTGTATTTTCTACTGAACTACAGTGATTGTTGGAGTAATCAAACTGCTGGTCACATACCATAGAAGACGAAGGTTCATACAACTCTGTAGTTCCAATAGAAATTTTATGACTCCAGTTATTACCATTATTGCCTATCTGAGATGTTTCTCTGACTGTTGAGTGCAATGAGGCATCACCTCTGCTTTCAACAGACTCCACACCTGACCATTGGTTTAGAGGATCTGATTCTTCAATAAAATGATTTAAGAATGCTTGAGGTTGTTGTCTTAAAGAATTTTCATTCTGATCACTACAACTATCTGTAGCCACATCTTTCTGAGAAACTTCTGTGAATTCTAAACGTGTAAGCACATCATATGCTTTATCTTCAATAGATTTTTCCTTTGACCACTGGCTCTGGGAATCTGAAGTTTGATATAAATGTATTGGAAGATCTTGTTCGAAGGGACATTCACTCTGACCAGAAGAGACTGAGCCACTCTCAAAACAACTGTCAGAACAATTCATGCTAAGTTTTTCCAAATACTGATTAGCTCCCACCACTCTGCTGTGTGCTGTTTTTATCCTTTTAGCTTTCAGATCATTATCGGATATTTTCAGGCGTCTCATCTGCAAAAAAAAGGAAAAAATATGAGTTATTGCTACCACATGGGAAAATGTATAAGTGTTTAAGAGATAATTCCTTAAAAATGGACAATATAAATGCCTTTATATGTAAGTTTTTATTCACCTTTGGACCTCCATTTGGCTTTGTTTAGAAATCACCTACCGACTTTTTTGTTTTCTTTAAGAAATTGTTTTCATTCTTGTCTTCTTTCTCATGCAGCTTGAAACTGTCTGAATTACCAAGCAATCCCTGTGCACGTTTCTGATGCAGGATCAACTCTATAGAACTAGTATTAGTTCTTTCAGGAAGGGTGACATAACACCCACCTGCAAACACATATAAAACAGCTTAAAGATCAGAGATCTGAAAATTCTCACATAAGATGAAGCAGAAATTTACCTGTACCAGTTCAGGTGATTTAGCAAGCCACATACTTACCAAGATACTCAAAATTCTGAAAATCTCCAACTTCTATAATGAAGAAAGATATTTACTGCAGACTTGTGTCTGCACTAAAAGTGTCAGCCCAAGATTATTTTTTGCAAACTATTTTTTGTCAGGAAATACCTTAAAATAGTTTTGCAATTCAGGAATGCACCAAGTAAAACAATCAAAACACAGCCTTTTCACATTTCAGTTACCTCAGAATAGGAAACCAGGCTAAAAGGTTTTTTACCATGTTTAAAATTAGGATTTTTTATTTAAGGACAAATATTTTTAGTCTGTGACTAGAATAAAAACAATTGTACAATACTGAAAGAGAAAAGTTTTTCCAATGTGAACACAGTTACTAAGACATCATAAATTTACATTTGTTCTAAAAATGTTTGTTTTGAACACTGTAGATTTAAGTGCCAGTTATTTATAGTATAATGTTAAAATTATAATCAAAAATGATACTGTGTTGATTTGATTTTGTTCTCAATCAATATGGGTACTAATTAAAATTTGACACTTTAGTGTTTAGAAAATTACTGGTGGGACAGGAATACCAATTTGTAATCTTTGAACTTGATTAGTTGTTTAAAACAAAAATTACTACAAAGACTCACCTGATAATTTGGTATTTATGTCAGAACTAACAACTTGGCAGCCATAACTGGGTAGAATTAAAGTGGGTATGAAAGGTACAGGTTGATGTGGAGTAGTCTGTGACATCACAGGAAGTTGAACTAAAGCTGGATCACTGCCATTTGACCCATTAACCTTTAACACTAAGAAAACAAACAAAAAATAGACCTTAGTTGTTTGTGAATAAATGACCTTTATCTGCAAGTAAATAAAATGAAGTACTTTATTTACATTCTGACATTTTCAATTTTACACTTTTAGTCAGTATTATAGCTGCTGATGAGGAGGCTTAGCTATAACTTAAAAATAAAAAGGTCTTGAGAGATTTAGATGTCTTTAAATAGGAAATGTGGAATGTAATTGAATACATCATTGTTACAATAATCTTAGTTTCAATTACAAAGTAATAGTGAGCTTTCAACATATTGTTGTGAATACAACGTTCAATA